TGTGTATATATATCTATCTATATCTATAGATATATATAGATATATATATATAGATATATATAGATATATATGTGTGTATATATATCTATCTATATCTATAGATATATATAGATATATATGTGTGTATATATATCTATCTATATCTATAGATATATATAGATATATATATATAGATATATATAGATATATATGTGTGTATATACACAAATGCAAATATATATATATATATATATATATACATATATATAATATATTCTGTCACTGCGTCGATGGTAAATTATACGTGTGAAAGGAAGATATTGTGATGCTGCGCGTGTGGACGATGATGAGTGATTTGTACGCACTGGTGCTTTGTACGATTTAAGCTTTAGCGTGTCGGTATCGGTTAGGCTTCGTTTCGGATTCAGGGCCTGGCCACGTGGCCCATGGCCCGCGAAACCCCTTCGTCCCGTTTCCGTTCGCGCCGATTGCTCCCGATTCCGATTCGACACCGCGGATCCCGACGTCGAGCCTCGACGTCGGATGGGACCGGTTTCGATCCAAGGGCTGGGGACTGGTCGAACGTTTTCGTTGTTCGAACGCTTGGATCGGGAATTTGTTGGACACTCTTGGATATTCGATTCGAAATAGCCGAGTACTCTCGTGCTAGTTGAGTAGCCGATCATTTTTCGGATACTGAAGAGCACGGATGTTACTCGAGTACTGTTCGAGTATCGACTACTCGTTACATTGCTCTGTATTTAACCCGTTCGCGTCGACGCTGCTATTTGTGTTTCTCGCTCCATGGGGCGGCGCACTGCTACTCCCCGTTTGATATACACGCGAGCGTGAGCCACCGGTGGTACACGCCGGCTCGAATCTGTTAAATATCCTAACAGCTCGATAGTCAAAACACAAAAATAACTCGAGTATCTAAAAAACGTATCGGTAGCGCATAACCGCGAATACAGCGTTCGAACGTCGACCAATTCGAACAGTCACAGGATCCACTTCGATCGTACTTTGTTGCAGAGCATGTCCGTCGGATAAACGTGGTACTATTTTCGTTGACGTCCGCGCGACCGACGCGCATCATTTTTCGTCTCCTTTTGCTCTCTCTGGTCGTTCTCGCTTGTAATCGGCCAAACGTCACCCACGCGCACGTTACCAACCCACCCGCATCTCCGTCCCTGTTTCGTTCTTCGCACTGTCTCGCTGACAGGGATGGGCAAAATTCACGTGTCGGGAACAACGAATAGAAAGAAACAAACCACCGAGCCGTTTATTCGTCGAATACAAATTACAGACGTATCGTACAGATCGAATTGGAAAATGAATTATTTCACGGGTGAACGAATAAACAGTTATCGAAACAAATGAACGTTTACTTTTATTCGTTATTCGAACGGAATTTTGCCCATTCGGCCGTGGTTCGATCACCACCATCCGTCGCGTCACTCTTTCTCTGATTCGTTCACCACTGCCTCCGTCTCTATCTCAATCCGGCCGTCTTCCTACGCGAACGTTTCGTTTCTCGACGTCAGAAGCAGGCGAAATCACCGCCCGCGCGAATAATTCGAATAACGAATAAATCGGAGTTAAACAAAAAAATTGGCAGGTACGAAACGTTTCGCGACGAGCAAAACGTTCGATAGAAAAACGAACCGCGATCGGACAACTCTCGCGAATAAATCGTCGCTCGCCGCTCTTATTCGTCGCTCGACGCTCGAATAAAATTTTGCCTGTCTCTGTTCACCGTCGTTCCTCTTCCCCTCCTCCTCCCCCGCCCCGACACTCAGCGGTTCCTCGAAACGTCGGAGTGGCTGCCGAACAGGCAGCTCTCGTTTACATGTAATGAAAAAAAAAAAGTCGAAGGGAAATAGTCTCTCTCGGGTCCGAGATCACGGATGACGATTCGCCGAATTGAACGAAGCTGCTCGAGGACGATTTAGCGAGAAGGAAAGAGGCGCGACAGATCCGAAAAAGAAAAAAAATACATAAAAAAAAAAACCGAAAAACGAGACAAAAGAAAAAGACGAAACGAGGAAAAGAAAACGAAAAAAGTTCGACTGTGTTCGTGTGTATATACAATACGTTATGTGAAACCTAGTCTTTATAAAAAAAAAAAAAAAAAAAAAAAAGAAAAAAAGAAAGAAAAAAGAATATACGAAATCGGACAAAAGAGAGGGACAACGACGCGCGAGCGAGAAGTAAATATCAGTGTTCTCGCACGGAACGTCGGTTGTTAACGGGTTACACCGTCTTCGAATCTTTTGAGCCTCTCGAAAGATTGAAAGTTCTTTAGTGGCACGAAGTAATCGGACCCTCGTGGATATCTCGAAGACGTTGGGCATACGTGACGATC